TGGCTCTTGTCTGGCAGGAGCTGCGCCGAAGACCAGTGCCGGACTCCCCGCAGCCTCCGCGAGTCCCTCACCGACTCCGGGGCGCGCAGCCGGGCGGGGGTCTCCTCGGGGCCCTCGGGCGGGGCGAGGGGCCCGCGGCCGCGCTCCGGTTCCTTCCTCCGCCGCGCGGCGCCCGCAGCGGCGGGGGGAGGCGGGCAGCTGCGCCCGGGGCCGGGCTGGGCGGGGGCGGGCGGCGACCGGGCCGCCATGGACGTCAAGGTGTTCGCCAAGGAGCTGGACCAGTGGGTCGAGCAGCTGAACGAGTGTAAGCAGCTCAACGAGAACCAAGTGCGGACGCTGTGCGAAAAGGCTAAGGAAATATTAACAAAGGAATCTAATGTGCAAGAGTTTGGTTGTCCTGTTACTGTCTGTGGAGATGTGCATGGTCAATCCCATGATCTTATGGAACTCTTCAGAATTGGTGGAAAATCACCAGATACAAACTATCTGTTCATGGGTGACTATGTAGACAGAGGTTATTATTCGGTGGAGACTGTGACTCTTCTTGTGTCATTAAAGGTGCGTTACCCAGAACGCATTACAATATTGGGAGGAAACCACGAAAGCTGACAAATTACCCAAGTATATGGCTTTTATGACGAATGTCTACGGAAGTATGGAAATGCCAATGTTTGGAAATATTTCACAGGTCTATATGATTATCTTCCACTTACAGCTTTAGTAGATGGGCAGATATTCTGCCTCCATGGTGGTCTCTCTCCATCCATAGATACACTGGATCATATAAGAGCCCTGGACCGTTTACAAGAAGTTCCACATAAGGGTCCAATGTGTGATCTGTTATGGTCAGATCCAGATGATCGTGGTGGGTGGGGCATATTTGGACAAGACATTTCTGAAACATTTAACCATGCCAACGGTCTCACGCTGGTTTCTCGCGCCCACTAACTTGTAATGGAGGGATACAATTGGTGCCATGACCGGAATGTGGTCACCATTTTCAGTGCGCCCAATTACTGTTACCGCAGTGGGAACCAGGCTGCTATCATGGAATTAGACGACACTTTAAAATATTCCTTCCTTCAGTTTGACCCAGCACCTCGTCGCGGAGAGCCTCATGTTACCCGGCGCACCCCAGACTACTTCCTGTAAATTCATTCTGGGAAGACCTGCCTTTGTATGTGGAAGTATACCTGGCTTTTTAAGATAATATATATTTAAAAACAAACAAACAAACAAGCAACAGTAATAATCTATGTGTTTCTGTAACAAATTGAGATCTGTCTTGGCATTAAACCATATCATGGACCAAAATGTGCCATACTAATAATGATGAGCATTTAGCACAATTTGAGACTGAAATTAAGTACAACACTATATTCTAGGTGGGTTGGTCAGTCTTAACAGTTTGCCTGCTGCACTTGTAGTAACCATTTTCCTTTGGACTGGTTCAAGCGATCAAGGTAACTAACTCCTTCATCTCCTTTTACCCTCATTTGGGAATTCTAGTTTTAATGTTTAAACGGCATGGATTAATAGAGTTGGGGTTTTATTTTTAAGAAAAAAAATCACAAGCTAACTTCCACTTAATCCATTACTGTTTATTTTATTGAAACATACAATTAACTGAAGAAAAGATTCTTCTTGGGAGTATGTTGTCATAACACTTAAAGAGACATCCTGTCACTTAGACAAAATTAATGTTTTATGTTGACCTGCATATTTCTGCATATTTGTCATGATAGTGCTTGCATCCTATTGGGTGTACTGAGCAAATAAACTTTCCATTTTAAACAAAAAAAAAAAAAGAGAGAGAGAGAGAGAGAGAGGGAACATAGACCTGGGGCTCTGACTTTACTGGGGCACAAGTGTGGGGAGCCTACGGTTTTGTGGGTTCACTTTTAATCGGTGAATTTAAAACATAAGAGCAGAAATTAGGACACAGGGAAAACTGGGGTCACTCAAATGGTCAGTTATCTAGATTACACAGGGCTATCTCCAAGGTGAGCTTCATGGGTGGTGGTGATCTGGTTCCTCACCTAGCTGGTTAGCTAAGAGCTAAGTAAGAGTTGCCATCGCTTGTTCCAGGTGGATGTTTTTGAAATGGAGGCCTCCGCAATCAAAAGCTTAATGTCAGGCACTTATGTTACAATCAAGAGACTATTGTCAGGCACTTACACTACATCATGCTAAACACTTTAACATTATTTTTGGTATAAAAACACAAGCATTTTTAAATCTCTCCACTCCTGTACTACTGAGAATATGGTCTGTAGATCTCCAAGCTGAGTACATTGGTCTGAAAGGTTTTTGGGAGTTTTAAATGACATGACATAGTTTAAAGAGCTTAACACAATACTTGAGTAAGTGCTCAATAATTTTCAGTTTCCTCCCCTTCCCTTTTCCCTTTATAGATCAGGGTTTCATAGTCCACTGTGAGCATTAACTCGTGCAGCTCTGCCTTCAGGTGGAACATCTGTATAAACTAGCTTTGCGAATATTTTTTAACTGAGAGATTTTCCATCTGTTTTGGAGTTACAGCAGTCCACCTTATTCTCACTTGAGCTCTTTATGATATATGTGTGATGTAAATAAGACATTTTAACGTGGGAGTAGTCATAGCCACCCCAGTCCTGTCTGTGCAGATTCTACCCCTCCCCTACCATCTTAGGCATCCTTTCTTTGCCAGTCTAGTTCTTGGCATTGTTGTAAGGCAAAATTAGAAGACAGGAGAGCAACCAGTCAGAACTGCAGTAAGGCAAAGGAAAGGATTTTTGCCTTTTGGGTCAGCCCAGGGTTCTTTCTTGTGGAGAATCCAGGTAATGAGCAAAGCAGAAATGAAACATAAAAAGAGGCTCAATTCTAAATTGATCCAAATAAGAAAGAGCTTGAGGTGAGGACAGGAGAAAGAAGACAGGAAAGCATAAAAGGATGTCAGAATTCGGGGAGTCTGGGAAGACTCTTAAACAAATATGGACTATGAAAGAAGTGTGGGAGATTATATTTTCTAAGGTATTGTTGTGGGTTATAACACAGATCTCCTTAACATTTCTTGAGAACTGCACATAAAATATTAAACATTCCTTTGAAGTTACTTTGGGAAACCAGAGTATATTTCTTCAAATGGAATGCTATACAAAAACTGATGCATCTGAACCCCAAACACATACAGACACGCTTTGTATTTGGATCGTATGCATTTCTTCCTAACTAAACAGCCAGCATCAGGATTACATATTCCGTTTAAAGCACAGCAGAATCACTAAGGTCCGTTTTCAGGACTGTCTTCTGTGTATGCAGTGTAAGGTTTTCATTTGAACATACTTTTCAAGAAGAGAAAATTACTAACATTGATATCACTTGTAAACACAGGTATTTTTCAGACTTCAAAATACATTCTAAAGCTTCTAAGAAAGGTTACTTTATACACATGCACAGAGTCACACAGTGTTGAAGATAGCAAATTGGTCCTCAGTCCATCCTCTCCTTATTTAGACATACAGCTCAAGATTGAATTTCCCAGCTCCCTTGCAGCAAGCTGACCATTAGAGGGATTGTGCAGGCTGAACCGTGGACAAGGAGATGAGCCAGTTTCAACCACATAGCTAGAAAAACACAACAGGAGGAATATCACAGAAGGAACGTGGGTCTCTACATGCCTTTGCTCATTAAACCTGAGCAGGCACCTCCTTCCAGACTGTGTGAGAAGGGTTATGCTTCTATTATGACTGAACCTGTGACTTACGGAATTATCTGTTAGCATACCTTAGCCTATGCTGTAATCAATACATGTAGAAATATGTTGCTTTCAGTTTACAGAGTTATTGGCCAATGGGTAAATAACCCTTGTATACTACTCTCTCTATGATGCCGACAATCTGATGTAGTAAAAAATTCAATCATCAGGGATCATTATCACATTTGAGATACATCCTTCACTGAAAAGAAAAATCATCTCTTCCTGTACAATTATGTTGTGACTGATTAAAGTTCAGATTTGCAGAATGAGAGCAAACGATTATGGTGAGCCAGCTGGTAGCTGTAAAGTCTTATAGCATTTGTTCACTTATTAAAATATTGAACGATTTCCAGTTCCCAGTCCAGCACTAAAGAAGCTTGAAAGTCATTTCTCCCATCCACACTAGACCCAGATGTGGAATAACTGTAAATCTAATCTTGATAAAATAGAGAAAAAAATAGTACTACGTGGGTACATCTTGGTGACTTACGCAAATGGTCTCCATAACATCCTGTACCAGGATAAGTGCAACTCTTGCAAAGACCCTATTTCTTAGCATTTTACAGAGGTTGCTGGACTTTTAGATAAGCTAAGCTCAGCTAAAGATGAGCAAGGAGGGGATCATAATAATGTAGCATAAATAATGTAACAGAGACTATACATTATCTCTCCTTTTCTTTCATAGCAGGAAATGGCAAACATTTTCTGTAAAAGGCCAGACAAGGTATTTTAGCTTTTGTGGCCCATATGATCTCTTTCCCAGCTTCTCAGCTCTGCCACTGTAGTGTGAGAGCAACAACAGACATTATGTAAACAAATGGGTGTGGCTATGTCCTAATAAAACTTTATTTACAAAAATAGGCAGTGGCCAGATTTGGCCTGTAGATGAGTTTGCAGATTCCTTTTCCACAGTAACAGTGTACTCACTTTTGTAGATAGACACACAGCTAACTTGAATAAAGACATTTTCCAGCCTTCCTTGCAGCAAAGTTTGGTCATGTGATTAAATGTGACCTAGTGGGTACAAGGAATAGTATGGAGGTGGAAAAAACATGCATTTCTATCTCCTGTTCTCCCTTTCTGGTGGCTCGAATGTGGTTGTAATGGCTGAAACCCCAGGAGCCGTTTGGATCAAAAAATCATCTCAGGGCAGAAAGCCATGGATTGAGGAAGCAACAAGACAGAAGGTGCCTAGATCCGTACATCTTGTAGTGTCAGGTGGACTCTCAGGTATAAGAAAGAGGCAAACTATTATTTTGTTTAAACCATTTTGATTTGGGTTTTCTCTGATTATTTGTTACAATCAAATAATCCTAACAGATCAGGCAAAAGTTCGAGAAGCGGTAAATGAATAAGGAGCTGTTCAGTAAATAACTTCTGCTTAAATAATAAATGACCATGAACTGAGGCTTGGCTCAGATCTAAATGTCAACTTTAGGCACAAAATATAAAAATTTATTTGGTTTATGGCATTTGCAACAGCAAATATTTGTATACAAAGGTTCTCTGTAGAAAGTTATTTGGTATATTCATGATATTAAATAGAGAAAAATATATTTCATTAAAGGGTATACAAGTCTAGGTCTAGTTACAAACCATAGATTAAAAAGGCATAACAAAAACAGCAATTACAAGGTAAGCTGCTATTGTAAATAGCATTTAGATTTATATCCACATTTTAGTCACTGTGCTAAAAAACAGCTTTAATTAGTTTTTTAAATTGAAATATCATTGATATACAATCTTATGTTGGTTTCAAATGTACAGCACAGTGGTTCAACAGTTACCCATATTACTAAATCCTCACCCCCTCTAGTGAGGTTACTATCTATCAACATAGAAAGATATTACAAAATCATTGACTATATTCTCCATGCTGTACTATCATCCCTGTGACCAACTTACATTGTGGTTGCAAATTACTGTGCCCTTTTATCCCCTTCACCCAACCTGCCCCAACCCCTCCCCTTTGGTAACCACTAGTCAATTCTCAGTGTCTGTTTTGTAATATCTACTGCTATTTTGTTCCTTCTGTTTTGTTTTTATATTCCACAAATAAATGGAACCTTATGGTATTTGCCTTTCTCTGCCTGGCTTATTTCACTGAGCATAATAACCTCTAGATCCACCCATGTGGTTACAAATGGCAGGATTTCTTTTCTTTTTATGGATGAATAATATTCCATTGTTATATGTACCACATCTTCTTTATCCATTCACCTATTATGGACAATTAGGTTGCTTCTGTATCTTGGCTATTGCAAATACTTTGACGATAAACAAAGGGGTGTGCATATATCTTTTAGAATCAGGGATTTTATTTTCTTCAGGTAAATTCCTAGAATTACTGGGTCAAATGGTATTTCTATTTTGAGTTTTTTGAGGAACTTCCCCACTGCTTTACAGAGCAGTTGCACCAATTTACATTCCCACCAACAGTGAAGGAAGGTTCCCATTTCTCCGCCTCCTCGCCAGCATTTGTTATTTTTGTCTTTCGGAGGGTGGTCATCCTAACTGGGGTAAGAAGATATCTCATTGTGGTTTTAACTTGCATTTCCCTGATGATTAGTGATGTGGAGCATCTTTTCATGTGCCTATTGGCATTTCTTCTTTGGAGAAGTGTCTGTTTAGGTCCTCTGCCTGTTTTTTTAATCAGGTCATTTGTTTTTTGGGTGTTGAGGTGTGTGAGTTCTTCATATATTTTAGATGTTAACCCTTTATCAGATAAATAATTTATGAATATATTCTCCCATACTGTAGACGCCTTTTTGTTCTGCTGATGGTATCATAAGCTATACAGAAGCTTTTAAGTTTGATGTAGTCCCCTTAATTAGTTTCTACAAAAATTTATCTTATCAATACCACCATTAAGGTGGTTTTTGTCATCGCTACACATGTCCCCCACCCTTGTTTTGCAGAAAGTATCTCACTGGGTGTTATTTGTTTTTCTAAGTTAAGAAAGTGAAAGGCTTAACTCAGCTATAGCTAAGCTCTTTACAACCTTAGTATTCAAAGTTATGGTTCTTGGACCATTAGCACCACCTAGGACGTTGATAGGAATGTAGAATCTTGGGCCAGAAACCAATTTTACTAAGATTCCCCAGAAGATGTTACATGCATGTTAAAGTTTAAGAATGCTACCTTTCAATTCTTTCACACTGACATTAAGTAGCAAATATCCTTTACCTTGCGTTAGCTTTTCCAATCTCAAAAATACAACCTAAATAAAATACTAATAAATAAACCTAAATAAAATTCCTGAGCTACCCACCAAACACAGTAACTCAGGTCAAAGATCTGGAAACCAGAAAAGAGCTAAAAACATGTGTCTCAAAGGATCACATTCTTTACCTTTTATGGGCTTCAAGCACTTCTTTTTACTAGGAAGCACCTGGGATTAGACTTACCTCTGGTCCTGAGGTTGAAGAGTGAGCTTTTAGTCATAAATCCTAATAATAAGATGCCATGTAGAGAGCGATTTGGAGAGCCTACAGAATCTATTAAACTGATATATAAAACTAATAGTCTTAGTCCCTGAGACATCAATTTATTAAGATTCTACTATATTATACTACTTTAACTACAAACATGTTACTGTCATAAGCACTATAATGTGAAGAAATAAAAACTTGTATTACAAGGAGAATATTCTTTTCTACCAAAGAAAAACCTCTTGCAGGTCTGCTCAGTTAATACACCCAAGTCTGTACTTCAAGGATTCAAAGAACCACAGATGTAACTAAGATTTGGAAATACAAACTCTGAAGAAAAGTTGAATACTTCTAGAATTAAAATAATGAAAGGGCATTGAAAAATAATCCCTAACCTTTGTCAAAGAAGGATTTCTGGCTGTTTGCTATTTCTAGTATCACCAGAAAAAAATTAGTTTCATATAAAGCTTGAGAGTTTTAGGAAAGCTATAAAATTACTAATGGAATATTCCCTTCTTTGAGGGTTTTTAAAACTATATTGGGTTGAATCCCATCATGATCTAATTGTTGCCTTGACTAGATAAATTCTGTAACTCCTCAAAGTCCCTTTCAAACTAACAGTCAATGAAGAGTCTCTGTATAAATAAAATTCCACAGTGAAAATCAACTCAAGCACATTGTACCTTACACCATCCCCTATGCTAAACTTTAGCTAAAATATTTAGAAATACTGGCAACTCTATCACCTCTTTTGAAGAAAAAACAGCTAGTGAGATTCTCGGGCCCTTTTATACTGGCAGTTTTAGAGACTCCTAGTACATCCCCAGTACTTCTTAGAATTCCCATTTTTATGTACTTAAGTTATTTTCCTGCCAGTTTGAAATATTAATTAATATATGAATTCAGGTCTTGTTAAATGCTGAGTCAAGAACAGGCTGCTTCATCAGAGATCTGTTATTTGCATTCCATGCTGTTTCTTATCTAGCAATTGTAGTTTGACCAACCATTCTGTTTTACCCCGGACTGGAGGCTTTACTGGGACACTTGACTGTCAGTGTTAAAATCTAGACAGTTGGTAACTGTACAGTTTAGTAATACGTCTTGCAGTGTGTGTGTGTGTGTGTGTGTGTGTTTATGTGTGCGCACGTGTGCACGCACCCCGATGCACCTGCTCACACACATTTATCATTATCATTTTCTTCTGGGTTCAACTTCACTTTAGAGGACAGAAAAATGACCAAGCAAATGTAAAGCTCTTTTCAATGTATGTGCTATTTAGTGAACTGTGCAAATAAGCCAGTAGTTAGCTATTTATCAACTCATTTTTAAAAAGGAAAAGAAAAAAATCTTAAGTCCCATATCCATATTATAAAAAAAAAAAGAAATTCCCCAAATAGAGACATCTTGCCTTAACAATGGCACAAGTGAACAGTTT